TGGCGAGGACCCTCAGCAACGCATCTGCAGCCACGTTTGCTTTCCAAAACACCTCAAATCGCCCAGTTTTCTCATGGTCCCACAGCAAATCCCCGTGGGGACCTCAAAGCAAAGAGGGTTGGGGGGTGTTTCTGGTGCGAGTCCCCCACGGCAGCACAGGGCTTCATTGCACAAGGGTGCCCGGAGCCAGCACCATTCCCATCCCAATCCAGCTATTCCCCTCCTCCATGTGTTTGCACAGGTTTCACTTTGCTGCCGAGGCAGCGCCAGAGGGGGAAGAAGCAGAGGTCACAAATAGCAATGTACCACGGGAGGGTGTAAATCCCCCCCCTGCACACCCAAAGCTCTCGCTCTGCCCCTGCAGCTACTGGGGACGTGGCTCTATGTGGCCGGGGCTGCGCAATTCCCCCGGCACCTCCTGGAGATGCTGCTCATCGACCATGGACACCTCCATGTGGAGCCTGGTGCCAGCGAGCAGGAGCTGCCCATCACCCAGAGCGTGGCCGTGTAAGATGCAGCCCCCGGGTCCCTGCCCCAGCCCATCTCCTCTCATGTGCTGCAGTGATTCCAGCACGAGATACGAGCACGGCTTCATGGATGCTCTGTGCGTGCTCCTCCATCCCCACTCTTCCTCACCCTCTTTAGTGATTACTTAGATGTAAGGAAGAGTATTTAGATAGAAGGCAGGGGTCTCTGCTCCCTGTTCCTGCATCACCCATCTCCCATTTCTCTCCCCAGGGGGGACCAATGTCTCACCAACAACTCCACCTACGTAGAAATCACTGCTGGCAGCACCATGCTGGTGAAGGAGGGTGAGCAGCACCAGTGGGGTTATCACCCACTCTGAAACACCCAAAGGAGCCATATTTATGTCTTACATCAGCTGATGCATTTTATTCCTGGGTTGCTTTGTCTGTTTGAAGCCTTAGTGGATTCCAAGCAGCCCCCCAGGGCCAGGGACACCTTGGGTCAGCCCTGCTTTGTGGTACCCTGGATTGGGGTCCTGCCATCAAGCCACACTAAACCCCATGAAGCAATGTCATACCAGGAGCAAAGGAACAAAGCTGCTCCCATCCACTTAGTTAAAAACCACCTCATTTGTGAAGTTATCTCACAATCCCTCAGGGAAAGGAGAGGAACACTCATGGCAGGTTTAGTGAATCAGTGAAGCCTCATGTTCTGAACTGTTTCCTCCTCACCGAGGAAACGGGATGAGCCATTTGGGGTGGGAATTGCAAGACCCCTGGGATACAGGTCACAAAGACGCAGACACCACATAGTCTAAGCACCAGTGAGAGATGCCATCAGCACATTGCAATGGAGGGACAGGAGCTGGTGACTTTGGCTCCTTCACACCCCAGACCCACATTTAAGAAGTACAATTTAAACCAAGAACAACTCGCCCTGTACAGGACATTTGTCCTCACCCATTCCTAAAGGCTGGATCCTGGCATTGCCCACACTTGGGCTGGGTTTTATTGCTGCTCCAGCATTAAGAATCTGGCTATTGTGGCTGTTCCTAACCCTGATGCTGTTCCCTCCAAGCCAAGACCCAGCAAACTGTGGGGATGCTGATGAACCTCAGCTCTGAAGATGTTTTACTCATCCAGTACCAACTGCAGAGGGAAAGGACGTACCTGGGACTCTATCTCTATGGTATGCAAACTCCTACCTAACTTAAAGCTATTGTGGGACACCAAAACACACACATAGGATTAAGAGCTAAAACCACTCAGCAGCTTGGCTTTGCCAACAGTGATCTCCCTGAAGCCACCACTCCAGGGGTCACAGGAACATTTATAAATCCCTTTAAACCCAAGATCTCTTGGCAGAGCAGAAGGAGCAAGTTAAAGACAAAACCCACTTATGCCATAAACGTTCCAAAGACCAGGAAGCAAGTGCAATTCAGCATTGATATCACTGTAAAACATCAGTGTTTTCAAGCCAACCATGATGTTTCAGTACTTGCCTCCCAGCGCAGAGCACGTGGCTTTGCAGCGCAGGCAAAGCTGATCTGATCTACCCACAACCCCATCAAGCAGCATTTTAGAGCTTGATAAGGCTTCCCACTGCCCTTCCAGGCTGCAGAGCTGTTGCTTAAGACTGAAGACACATACAGAGAACTGCCTCTGTACTCAGTCTTTCCCAGTGGGAGCATCAGACTATTCTGCAACCCCTTTAAGCAGACAGGGCCAGAGCTGACTGTGGAGAGGGTTAAAAAGTGATGCCCAAGGTTGGTTTTGTTCCCGTGTATTCACCACGAGAGACCCAAAAAGAGACCACAGGCACAGCAACCATTGGTGGGAGCACAAGGAAGGGATGCAGCACAAAGGGACACGCTGAGGCCTCTGGTCCGTATTTAATGCCTGGCAAATGCTTCTCCTTTTCCAGCCAGAAACCTGACCATGAGCAGAGCCCAACAGGAAGAGTTCGAGAGCCAGGCCAAGTGCCTGGGGCTGAGTGAAGAGGGGATCGTGTACGCGCCATGGAGAAGGGTACGTGGCTGCTCACGGATGGGCAGAGCCGAGACCCCGCGTTATAGCTCCAGCCACCAAACCAGGGTCTTGGAGAGACATTTTCAAGGTGGTGGAAATGATTTAAGGGACTAAATACACCCAGGCTTGCTTCAGCAGTGGTGGTGGGTTAAAATACACACACATGCATAGATTCCTGACTCCCCAAAGCAAACACCCGCACCCGAAGGAAACCTGTCCCTGCCAGGGGAGAAATAGCTAAAGAATGGGGGTTTGGGCCTGAATTTCCTGATTTTGCCCCCCACAGCAAAGGAAGCCCCCTCCAGGAGCTGCAGCAAGGGCTGGAGGGGCTGCATGGCCCTGCTTCAAAACCACTATCACCTGAACTTCAGGTTGTTTTCAGATTAGGGTGTGCTTTTCTGGTACTCCAAGGTGCGATGAGCAGGTTCACAGCCTGGCTGGCTGAGTATGGGGTTCAGGAAGACTGCACAAGCCCATTCCACTCCCACCCCAGCACAGAGGCTCCTGTTGGGCTGGGGTCCAGCCCTGAGCTCCCAACCCCACAGGACATTGGAACAGAGGTAACACCACCCACTCCCACAAAAACAGACTTTTTCCTTTCGTTTCTCCACCAAAACATTAACTGCTTAACCTTAATAGACATTAAATTAACATTCAACATAAATGTTTAACATTAACCGAACCCAGCCCCAATTTAGGCCATTTTATCCTGCAAATGACCCTTTTACAAAATGAAGGTGAAAAACATCTTACCTTCTCCTGTTCTCCCTCTGCTCATCTACATCAGGAAACTCCGAGCTTCCAGAGGTGCCCTGAACCCCACTGCAAGCAGCCAGGCTGGACTCAATATAGCCCCAAATGCCCCCAATCTCAAGAAGCTGCTTTTAGCACTGTCCCTGTGGGTTCAGGGACACAGATCCTCACAGTGGGACAGGTCTCTCCATTATAGGCAATGGGCAGCACCTGGGAACAGGACTGAGCTCGCCCAGATTAACAGGAGGCAGCTGCAGACCAAGGGGCTGCAGAAGCTTCTGGATCACATTTAAATTTAGACAAATAGATGAAGTTGAGGGAAAGGCAAAACAAGCCCAACTTGTTTGTCCTTTCAAGCTCTGGTGCAACTGCTGTCACCAGAGAAGGGGTTTGTGCCCAGGCAAGAGGCATCTGAGGAGTGAAATGAAACCAGTTAAAGGCAGAAAAGATTTTGGGGAGCTTCATCATCAGGCTGAAGGAGATGGATGTGAACAGAGCACCAGAGTAGAGGTTCATGTACCCATGCACTGGCCGGAGGCATTAGGAGAACTTCAATGGTGCTAATTCCGAGTGCCTGGATAGCATGAGCTTTATACTGACTTCCCAAAGGGTTTGAACCCTCCTTTCCTTCAGAGCACATTGACCCCCCCCAAGGTACAGCTTTGTCCTAGAAATCCCCTTTCCTCTTTACAGCACAGTGTTGGAAATGGCACCAGCAGCAGCTCAGCACCCGGGCAAGTGTGTCCATGACTGGGGAAGCCCATGGATTCTCTGGGCACTATTAGACTTGGATAGAAAGGAAAAGAGAAATAATTCTTTCTTCAGTAAATCCTGTCCTGCTGGTGCAAGGGCTGTTACTTATCCTATTGTTGTTGTTTTGGAAGGAGCTGTGTCAAATGGAAGAAGTTGGAAAGGGAAACAGCGCATGGATGGAGCCCACGGCTGCAGTCACAGCATCACCTCCTCCAGGTACCCACCAACCGGGGAGCGCAAATAACTGATCCCACATTGGGCAATAAATGTTTTCTTCAAACTCAATGCATTTTGTTGCTGGATTTTGGATCAGAATCAGAGCTCGAAAGAAGAACTCAAACACCCAATTCACCTCGTGTGTCATTCAGTTAGGAGCTGGGCAAAGTCAACCTTGAGCAGTGGGGGACGGGACACGTGGAAGTGTTTTCAGTGCTGACTCAGTCCCTCAGCTTCACGTCAAGCTTGAAAGAGCTCTGCCAAAAGCCATAGTGCAGCGAAGCAGTGATGGAGGCTAACCAGAAGAGGGCAATCATTAACTGTTTTAAATGAGCACGCCAAGCAGTTGGTAACCAACTGGAACATGACTGGAATATATAGAAGGCTAGAAACTCATATTTAACTATAGTCTGAGAGGAAGAGGGTGCTTAGCTAGAAGCAACCACCCAATTCTCTTGACAGCAGCTCGACTGCCAAAAGTAGCCCAGTGGGGGCAGTAAGATATTATAGAATCATAGAATGATTATTCCTGAATAATGATTATTCATTAATATCCCTGCCCAAACCCTTTGGATGAGGCAAGAGCTCCCCAGTAAACTTCATCCATGGCAAGGTCTGTGACATAGCATGACAACACCGTCAAATGAGAGAAGGATGGGATAATAACCCAACCCAGGCTGGAGTTTCATTTCCCCAGAGGAAAAGGTCCCGTTTCCCCATTCCCCAATAATCTCAGGAGCCTGGGGGTGAGAGGGTTCAAGTGCCAAGACCCACATTGCTCTCTGTGCCTCCAATATACCCCACATTCATTGGGCACCTCACCCCTCCCTTGTCACAGCCCCCAGGGAGGGAAGTGCTGTCACTGTGTTGGTGAAGGGGGGGTTATAAGGAGACTGCTGTTGTGCACGTCTGGGCAGTAATTCAGGCTCAGCTCTAACCTAGCAATTAAGCACTGGAAATATCTCTTCCTTAAGAAGGAAGGGAAGGAGAAAAGCTGGAGGGGACATGGTGAAGAAGGGCCCTGCTCCTCCCTGTGCAGCAGCAGGGTGCCTGGCCCTGTGCAGCCTTCCAGCGATGAGCCTTCAGCTCGATTCCTGTGGCACAAATGAGTTTTACAAGGTCAAGCACAGCCAATTCCCTCCAGTGTCAGGGCACAGGTACCCGCCAGCCCTTGCTTCAGACACAGCTTTATCAGTGTGGGACATGAAGCACAACTCCCCACCTCGAGGAGCGAGGCAGTGGAAGGGTAGGAGGGGATGCTGCCAGCCTTGAGTGCTGCCAGGCGCCCGGATAAGCATCTGGGCTGACACCGATGGAAAGCAGTGGCTCACATTACAAAGCCCCAGACTTTATGAGTAGATTTATAGCTGAATAAAAGCCTTGAATTACAGTCAGAGGCATAAGGAACCAAACAAAGGCAGCCTGGCCCCTGCAGCAAGTTTTGTTAACCCGATCAGAGGCCACTTGTGCTACCAGTTATAGGTCCTGAATGAGCTGTAAGGATAGGTCCTGGCTGGAGTTTGATTTAAGGAGTAACTGCACAAAGCCTTTCTTTTGAAAGCCTTCTAAAGCCAGGTTCCTTCCAGGGCTTTTCCAGGAAACTCTCTTCTCTGAACAGGAATGGATGCTGCACAGATGAGCAAAGTCCAGCAACGCTCAGAGATGGGTTAATAGTATCTGCACACCCCCAACTCATCACTGCCTTGATCTCAGGTTTGCTGGGTTTTGCCTTCAAGAAGAGTTCTGTTCTCCCAGATCCTCATAGCGAGAATCCTTCCCAGTGTTAGAATCCTTAGTGACAATCATCCCAGGAAATGTCTGGCCACAAGCAGCACCAATAAACCATGTAAACAGAGAGATGCTGACGCATGGTATCTCTTTGACAGACCTTTATTAGCAGACTGTTCCCTACATGAAGAATCCAAGTTAGATTTCTATTATAACAATTTGTGGTTACAGCTACAAAGATGGTTGTCATTTTGCATTGATTTTTGCATTCTGATATTCATATTCCCATTAGGCCACATTGGTAGGAAGGAGCCACTGCAGAATTTATGACAGGTCTCAAGAAGGGGGTGGGGGGTGGAAAAAAATCATGTCACTAATCCAGATTGATTTCGATTTCCCCGTGGCTAACTCCTGACAGCACTGGATAGTCAAGGGAGAGTCTTACCTGGGAGACTCTCCATCAACCACCAAAGCTGCCAGCAAAAAAGCAGCAGCTGCTGAGTGCTAGTGCATCCTTGTCTGGCTTCCCACGTCTCCCCACAGTGCCCACCTGCATGTGAGGAGCACTGCCCCAGCAGCAGGCTCTGCTGTTTCAGCCTCAAAGCAGCTTGTGCCCAAGCGCAAGTTTCCTGCCATCTCTCTGGAAACTTGTGGGTTTAGTCCCTGAGATTTCTTCCCTCCCCCCTTTTCCCTAAGATTTCCCCAAGGTTGCTCTCAATTATCCGTTGTGACATCCAACATACACAGACCTTCTACTTCCCAACTTCAGCCATCAACCCAAAAGCCTCTCAGCCATGCACAGAGGCAATTCCAACATAAGGCAAGCCTCACAGTGCCCCCTCTCCCTCCTCCCAAGGTTCTGCTTCCCAACTACTCCCTTCTCTCCTACGGCTTCTTGCTACAGAATTTCTCTGGGCTGAGGTCCTCCAGCAACAACCCCAGACGTGGGAAAGGCAGCTCAAGCCCCAAGAGGAAGGTACATGAGTGGCTTTAGCATCCCTGCCCACGACTCAGCTGTGTGATGTGAGAGAACAAAGAGAGAACTTTCTAAAACAGAACTACGAGCACAGTAACAATATTTAAACAAGTCTATAAAAATAGTCTGACATAACTCTGTTCAAATAAATACAAAATAAATATGCTTTAAGCAGTAAAACAGTGGAATGCGACGCTGGTCCTTTATTATTTTCTGTCCTAAATGTAAAGTTGGATGAGGATCTCCCAGGCCTCAGAAGCCAGATCCTATTGATGAAAATAGCCCATAATGCAGTCAGAGAAATTTTAAAGCCATGTCTTTCCCTTAGCTTTGTGAAAAGCACCCTTTGAAAGCAAAGCAAGCACGTCTTCAGGACCGAAAGCTCCCCTCTCCCAGTGACAACCAGCCCCTCTCTCCCTAACACCCCTCTCCCAACAGCATACATACTCCTGGCTTGGGGACTCCATCCCACTAACATAAACCTGAACATCGATCTACAAAGAGGTCTAAAGAGATAGATAGCAGCGTAGGCACAGGGCTTGGAAAGGTCCACCTTGGCACCAGGCAGAATGGAATTCAAAGGTCCATGCAACGCTGCACAGGAGCTCTCATGTTGTGCTGGGAGCACGACTGCACAGGAGCTGTGATAGAGTGGGTTTTGTTCACTGAAGCCATGCATCAAGGTGCCAGTCCATCCAGGGCTTTCCAAACCTTTCCAAGCCCCTGCTAAGTATAAGACAAGCCAATCCCAGCATGCAAAGGATACAGGCATGCAGGCTCTAGTCTGCTGCTTCTGTTAGTAAGTGCATCTTGTTAGTGGATTTCTGAGACACACTTAAACCTATAAAAAATAAATAATTCTAATTCTTCATCAGGCTGGTCTCAATAACCTTCAGCCTGACCAGATAAACCACTGCCCACCAGCCCTCAAAACCAGTATAGTTCAAAGGTACATTTCATGTCAAGTCTTGGAAGCAGAACATGAATGTCTCCTACCCAAAGGAATATATGTAAACATAACAACAAGCCTGGTGTGGCAGCAGCTCCTACACAAGGTTTGTACAGATTTGAGTAACGGGTAGGAAGTTGAACAATTGAATGGAGAAAAAAAAAAAAAAGAAGCTCTCTGAATGGAAAAAAGAAGCTCTTTCAGCAAGTCAGAAGGTGCTCATCTGCAGGCAAACAGCTCTGCACATGCTGTACACTGAAAGCAGACCCGTTACCCAAACCTTTGCTATTCTGCCACACCGCTGGCAACTGACCTCGGCAGCTCACGCCTTAAGATTCAACCAGGAGTTCACCCCGTGGTGTCCCAAAAAGCCCACATGATGTAAAGCTCTGAGTAGCAAGATGGCAAAGGACACCAGATTCTCCCCCTCCCCTTACTGACTTACAAACTATCTGAGATTTCACAGCTTTGCTTAAGTCAGCTTAGTGTCAACACATTCACAGAATGAGAGATGGCTATACGTCTTGAGGTTGCCCCCCAAGACTTCAGAGTTCAAAGTCCTCAGCATCTCCTGGTCACCGTGACTGCACGCCCAGAGACATCTTCAGGTTTTCATAAACCACGTAGCTGATGCTGACAGCCGGGATCACCTTCATAAAGTTCGGTGCCAGACCTCGGTAAAGACCAAAGGCTCCCTCTGTCTTCAGAATGTGTCTGAACAGTCCCCTCATTGTCACTTCAGGAGCACCCTCCACTGAAGCTGCAACAGAGAAAGGCACAAATCAGTAACGCAGCCTACGTGTTCCGATTCATGTCCTTCCTGGGGATGTTCACAGAGCAAAAGTGCTCCATGTGGAACAGCATCTAACTTCTCAGCAAGCCACAACCATGCTGCACATCACAGCCATCTTCTCAACTCGCTCTGAAGGTGCCCTTAGCCCAAAACTGCTCATCAAAACAGGAGCTCTGTCCTGGAGGTGCTTGGCCCCCGACACTAGGGGCAGCACAAAGTCCACTGTCCTCTTGCAGCATGGCAAATAGCCTTCTGCTCAGCTGCACAGGCTGTTGTTGCAATGTTTACACTAAAGGACCTTTACCCAGCTCAGGGACCACAACACGAGTTCCCACAGTTCCTAGAAGCCCTCACCTTGGGCCTGCATGCGTGTCCTCACGAGAGCCAGTGGGTAACTGGCAAGCTGCCCACAGGTACTGGAGATGGTGCCACAGGCCAGCAGAACAAAGACTCCAGGGTCAGCGCTGTTGACAGCGTAGCGTTGCAACCAGGTATTTTTTAGTGTCTGGAAGGAACAAGCCACATGTTAGCAGTGAAGAGGCAATCAAAAGCTTATCACATAACATAAAAGATCTAGTGTAAAGGC